CGTACACCTCGCCCCACTCGTTCAGCCGCCCCTCTACCTTCTTGTAGTACGTCTTAATGCGCTTGTACTTCATGAAGCCCTTCACCTTGTCCAGCTTATTCGGGTCGGGAATGAGGTCCTCGATGTCTTTCGGCGGCTCGCTGGGCGTCGTCGCCGGACTGGGTCGTCGACTGGGAATGAGCGGCTTCTTCAGTTTCATGTCGTTCAGCACGCGTTGGTACTCGTGAGGAAACACCTTGATGAACTTCTTCGACTCTGCCTCCCACTCGTCGAGAATGTGCTCGGCCACGGTGGAGCCGGTGCGCTCGCAGAACTCGTTGATCAGCTCCGCCAGCTTGGAGATCTCCTTCTCCTCCTCGAGGGGAAACAGGTCCACCATCGCCTTGTTGCAGCGACGCTCAAACTTGCCGTCCACGTCGTAGACGTAGGCAATGCCGCCGGACATGNAACTCGTTGATCAGCTCCGCCAACTTGGAGATCTCCTTCTCCTCCTCGAGGGGAAACAGGTCCACCATCGCCTTGTTGCAGCGAAGCTCAAACTTGCCGTCCACGTCGTAGACGTAGGCAATGCCGCCGGACATGCCCGCAGCGAAGTTCCGTCCGGTGAGGCCGAGGATGACGCAGGTGCCGCCAGTCATGTACTCGCAGCCGTGGTCGCCGACGCCCTCCACCACGGCGACGGCGCCCGAGTTGCGGACGCAGAAGCGCTCCGCGGCGATGCCCCGAATGAAGGCCTTGCCGGAGGTGGCGCCGTAGAGGCAGACGTTGCCCACGATGACGTTGCTCTCCGACTTGAAGGACTCAGGCAGGTCTTTCGGCGGGTAGATGACCACCTCGCCGCCGGAAAGGCCCTTGCAGACGTAGTCGTTGCACTCGCCCTCCAACTCCACGACAACGCCTTTTGAGAGGAAGAGACAGAAGGACTGGCCGGCGCTGCCGGTCAGCTTCACGAAGATCAGGTTTTTCGGGAGGCCGTCCTCCCCGAAACGCTTTGCGATGTGGTAGCTGAGCGTGGCGCCGAAGGCTCGGTCCTGGTTGGTGATGGTGAACTCGGCGTTGACCGGCTCGAGGAAGTTGCCGCTGATGATCTTCTTGGAACGGTCAATGAGGATGTTGTCCATGCGCTTCTGCAGCTCAAAGTCCTGCTTCACCGAGCCGCCGACGATGTTCGTCTCCGGGCGGAGGGAGAGGGCATTGCAGAGGATCAGCGTGTAGTCGAGCATCTGCGCCTTGGGGTTCTTCTGGTTGGGCGAAAAGTGGAGTAGCTCAGTGCGGCCGATCAGGTTCTGGAAGCGGCGAATGCCCAGCTTGGCCATCTCCTCGCGAATCTCCTCCGCTAGCAGGAAGAAGTAGTTAATGACGTGCTCCGGGGCGCCCTTGAACTTCTTGCGCAGCTCCGGGTCCTGCGTGGCGATGCCCACCGGACAGGTGTTCAGGTGGCACTTGCGCATCATGATGCAGCCCAGGGTAATGAGGGGCGCGGTGGAGAAGCCAAACTCATCGGCGCCCAGCAGGGCGGCGATGATCACATCGGAGGCGGTGCGAATCTGTCCGTCACACTGGAGGACGACTCGGGAGCGGAGGTTGTTTGCTACTAGCACCTGATGGGTCTCACTGATGCCCAGCTCCCAGGGGAGGCCGGCATTTTTGATGCCGGTCCAGCTGGAGGCGCCCGTGCCGCCGTCGTGTCCGGAGATGGTGATGTGCTCAGCCTTGCCCTTGGCCACGCCGGCCGCCACAATGCCCACGCCCACCTCGCTGACCAGCTTAACCGAGATTCGCGCCTCCGGGTTGGAGCACTTCAGATCGTAGATCAGCTCGGAGAGGTCCTCGATGGAGTAGATGTCGTGGTGGGGCGGCGGCGAAATGAGGCCCACGCCGGGCACCGAGTGTCGCGTCTTGGCGATCTCCACGGAGACCTTGTGGCCGGGCAGCTCGCCGCCCTCGCCCGGCTTCGCCCCCTGCGCCATCTTGATCTGCAGCTCATCGGCGTTGGCGATGTAGGCGGCGGTGACGCCGAAGCGGCCACTGGCCACCTGCTTGATGGCCGACCGGCGATTGGCATTCTCGTCCTTGACAATCCACCGCTCCGCGTCCTCGCCGCCCTCGCCGGTGTTCGACTTGCCCCCAATGGCGTTCATGGCCATGGCCAGGGTGGTGTGCGTCTCGTAGCTTATGGAGCCAAAGGACATGGCGCCGGTGCAGAAGCGCTTGACGATGCTCACCGCCGGCTCCACCTCGTCCAGCGGGACGGCCTTTGTGGCGTACACAAAATCGAGCTGGCCGCGCAGGGCGCAGTCCTTGACGGCGTTTCGCGTCGCCTGAACGAAGCTTTTGTACGCCTGGCGGGAGTTGGCTGAGGCCTGTGGTTGATAAGGGGGATAGGAAAAGGTTTAAAAAGATGATTTCACTGCATAATAAAACACGAACACCACTTACCGCCTCCTGGAGACTGGCAATGGCCATCGGATCGTTGATGTGCTTCTCCCCGCCCGATCGCCAGTGGTAGAAGCCCGGGTTGCGCAGAATCAGCTGGTCGGTAAAGTACTTCTTATTGAAGGCAATCGAATGTCGCTCCAGCGCCTCGTCAGCCAGCACGTTGAAGCTGATCCCTCCCACTCGAGAAGGCGTGTTCTTGAAGCACAGCTCAATGACGTCCTCGCCCAAGCCGACCGCCTCGAAGATCTGCGCGCCCTTGTAGCTCTGTAGCGTGCTGATGCCCATCTTCGCCATGACCTTGGCGATGCCCGTCTCCATGGCGACGAAGTAGTTGCGGTAGGCGTCCTCGTCGGCCAGCTCGATGATGCCCTCCTCGCGCAGGGCGGCCACCGTCTCGAAGACCAGGTAGGGGCAGATGGCGTCGGCGCCGTAACCCAGAAGCACGCACATGTGGTGCACCTCGCGGGCCTCGCCCGTCTCGCAGATGAGGGCCACCTTCATGCGCTGCCGCTCGTTGATCAGGTAGTGGTGGGTGCTGCCCAGGGCCAGCAGGATGCTGGGTCGAAAGGGATGGATGGATGGATAGATGATAGAATGTGTGTTAGAATGGTCAACAATTCAATGGTAGTCACCGAACAAAAAAGATTCCACCTACCTAACCGGCACAAACTTGGGCCCCGCCTTTCGGTCGCTCAGGACGATGACGGTGTAGCCCTTGCGAGCCGCCTCACAGGCCTCCTTGCGAATGTGGTCCAGGCGCTTCAGCAGCCCCTGTCGCCCTTCGGCCACCGGAAAAACGCAGTCAATGACCTTGGTCTTCCAGCCCTTGTACGAGGTCTCTTTGATGATCTCACAGTCGGGAATGGAGACGATCGGCTGCTCCAGCCACAGGCGGCGGCACTGCTCCGCCGTCGGCTCCAGAATGTTTGCCTCGGGACCGACGGGGCAGGCCAGCGACATGACAATCTTCTCGCGGAAGGGGTCGATCGGCGGGTTGGTGACCTGGGCGAAGAGCTGCTTGAAGTAGCTGAAGATGAGAGGCTGGTAGAGGGACAGACAGGCGAGTGGCTCGTCGTTGCCCATCGACCCGAGGGCCTCCTTCTTGGTCTTCACCATCGGCAGCAGCAGCATGTTGATGGTCTCGGTGGTGTAGGCGAACATCGCCAGGCGGCGATCTTCAAGGACCTTGGCACGACCTTCTACCTCCTCCTCGCTGCGGCCCTCCAACAGGACGGCCCGTCGCTTGAAGGTGGTCAGCGGGGCGACGTTCTTCGCCCGCTGCAGGTCGCCGATGGTGAAGAGCTCCTTCAGCCACTCGGCGTACTGCGACTTGCTGGCGATGTCCATCTTGATCTGCTCGTCCTTGACGAACAGTTTCTCCTGCGTGTCAATCAGCAACATCCGGCCGGGCTTCAGGCGCTGCTTGACGACGATCTTCGAGTTGGGCACGTCGATGACGCCCACCTCGGAGGCCATGATGACGTCGCCATTCTCCGTTTGGTAGTACCGGGCCGGACGGAGGCCGTTTCGGTCGAGGATGGCGCCGATGTAGCGGCCGTCAGTGAAGGTGAGCAGTGCGGGCCCGTCCCAGGGCTCCATGGCGCAGCCGGCCCACTTGTAGAAGAGCCGCTTCTCCGGGTTCATCTGCGTGTCGTTCTGCCAGGCCTCAGGGACCATGGTCATCACCGCCTCGGGGAGGGAGCGCCCGCCAACGGTGACCAGAAACTCGAGGACATTGTCCAGCGAGCCCGAGTCGGACATGTTCGGCTCGACGACGGGGTAGAGCTCCGGCAGTTTGTCGCCGAAGATGGAGGAGCGCATGACGCCCTCGCGGGCGCGCATCAGGTTGATGTTCCCGCGGAGGGTGTTGATCTCGCCGTTGTGCGCCAGGTAGCGATTCGGGTGCGCCCGCTCCCAGGAGGGATAGGTGTTGGTGGAGAAGCGGGCGTGCACAATGGCCAGGTACGACTCAAAGTTGGTCTCGCGCAGGTCGTCAAAGTACTGCCACAGCTGGGCGGGCGTGAACTGGCCCTGCAAGCACAAAGTTGAACAATAATGAGTCAAACACGTTTTTTCAGTTGGCTTTTAAGGCTACACTCGAGAAAGAAATGAGGGCTTCTCTGCGTCCTTCCACAAAACATGTGTTTCAATGGGGCTTGTTATGATTCTGGTGGTACATTTATCTCAGGAACTACATATCAGATTAAGGTGATGTAAAAGGTAAAAATAAAGTTAAAAACTTAATCTAAACTTTTGTAGCTAAATATTTAAATTCGAAATGGTTAGAGTTATTGAAATAGCAAAATAAGCTTTGACAACTATTTTGTATATTATTGTTAGACTTTACCAGTGTAGTGCCAGCTGGCACTGCACCAACACATCATAGTCAATGTACACACAGTTCACCCTTNTTTTCCACAAAGCATGTGTTTCAATGGGGCTTGTTATGATTCTGTTGGTACATTTATCTCAGGAACTAGATATCAGATTAAGGTGATGTAAAAGGTAAAAATAAAGTTAAAGACTTAATTTAAACTTTTGTAGTTAAATATTTAAGTTAGAAATGGTTAGAGTTATTGAAATAGCAAAATAAGCTTTGACAACTATTTTGTTTATTATTGTCAGACTTTACCAAAATATTTAACCACAAAAGTTTAGTTTAAGCTTTTAACTTAATTTTTGCCTTTTACATTATCTTAATCAGATATGTAGTTTTTGAAATAAATGGATCAAGAGGATCCTAACAAATCCCATTGAAGCACATGGAAACAGCTGCTTGTGAACGGAGCAGAGAAGCACGCTTTTCAGTAAATCAAGTGTGGCCTTTATGGCCTTTAAGACTTTAAAAGTTTTTTTAACTTACCTTGTAGACGACAATGGACGTAGAAAGGCTGCAGATGTAGTAGCGGAAACCCTCGTTGATCAACTTGTGAGTTGATGACTTGCGCAGCACAAAGAGCTTTCGCTTGAACTCGGCGTCGCTCGTGGCCGGATCCACCGGTTCGATGAAAACCTGGCGCATCAGTGGCTCCTGCGAACCGGCCATCTCTCCGATGACCGAAGAGTTCTTCGGCACCGTTCGCCAGCAGAGAATCTTCAAGCCGTTCTCAGTGGCGATCAGCTCAAAGCGCTCCTCCACCTGGTCGGAGGTGATCTTGTCGAGGAAGAGTATGCCGGTGGCGTACTTGCCCAGCTCAGGCAGATCAATGTCGTGCGAGGCTCTAAAAAGCAGATTTAAAAAAGTTCAAATTAACATGAGTGAAAACTTTTGGTTGAATGAAACAAAAGTTGAGGCAACACTTACTTGAGTGCCACCTTGTAGAAAGAGTGCGGAATCGAGGTGAGCAAACCGGCGCCGTCTCCGGTGGAGTTGTCACCCGAGGTGGCACCTCGGTGCTCCATGCGATCGCTGATGGTCTGTGCATTGAGGAGCAGCTAAACAAAAGAAAAGAAAAAATTTTTAGTATATCAATTAAATGACAGAAAAAAGGCAGTGCCACCTACCCTGTTGGACGCCTGGGCGTTGATGTTGACAATGAAACCGACACCGCAGGCAGCCTTCTCCTCGTTCGGGTCCCAGAATGACTTTGGTTTATTGGCGTTGGCATTGCCCGGAGATGCAGCACTAGTTGCAGTGCTCACTGCACTCTCCTCAATCAAACTTGGGGCGGCATTGTCAATTGGAGAAGTGGATGAATCGTCGGCGGCGGCGGCGGCGGCGGCGGCCACTTGATCACTTTGCAGATTGTTAGGAGCCATTCAGAGGAGGGAAAATAGCAGAACAAGTCGGGAAATGTATATGTTGGTTGGTTGGTTGGTGGGCGAATGTCAGGGAAATGATTTGGGTAGTGTGCTGTGTAGTTGGTACGGGTATTGATAAGGGATATTACAATGAGTGGGAGAAAAGGAGAGAGAGAAAGAGTAATGCTAGAAGGTAGGAAAGTGAGAGCACACAAAACGCACACACAAATAACACAGAAAACTGAGATGTCTACTTTGTGTAGGAAAAAGGGAAAAAGAGTGGGAATAAGAGTGTACAGGAGAGGATGGCGAATAACGGTGTGTTCGATTCGATTTCGTGATGGAGCACGGCAAAAGTATTTGATACCCCAGTCGAAAGCAAACTCTGGTAACCAAATCCGACCAATTGCCAGAGATGTTGAATATATGCAACTACAAACACTGGTAAGTGTGCATATACCAATTGGCAGATTGACGCTAAAGGTTTAACGGGACAACGGGATTCGGGGACTGGCTAGGTACCACCGAGCAACGGGATGATTTGGTTGATGGAACTGGTGTGGAAGGTGGTGTGTGTAAGGTGTAAGGTGTTTAGGTATGTCTGAAAAAAAGGGAAAAGGAAAGCTGAAAAACGGTTTGCAGTTAAGTACAAAATCGGGAAAGTGTCGGCGGCGTTGTGCTGTTGCTGCTGGTTAGCTGTTCGGTGGCGGTGGAGGCAGCGACAGACTGAAAGTGTCTCGCTTTAAGCAGAGCGCTTTAGAGTGTGCTGCAGAAACAGTCGACGATGAGACCGGTGCGCGAAGATGAACTTTTAGCTTCTGGTGGTAGTGGCAGTAGTAGTTGTAGAGGGTGAACAAAACACACGGGGGAACATGAAAAAGAGAGAGAAAACGAAAGTGAATCGTTAGTTTGCAGATGTGTGTCCCTTCTGTCTGTCTGTCTGTCGCTTCTGCCTGCTCTTTACGCGGTTGCTGTTTTTATTTTATCAAAGCTGCTACTTTGCGCCCTACTGTGTGTCCTACTGTTGCGTCGGTATTCAGTGCCAGTGGCTCAGTTCAATGCTGCTGCCACCACATTCAGACAGTTTCAGCAGCAGCAGCTGTCTACGTCATGGTCTTTTTCCCTCTATCTCTGTCTCAGTGTCTCACTCCCCCTCCCAAACCACCACTACACACATTCACATTTGGTGCACGACGACAACGACACTCAACTGAAGTGAACTAGACTGAACTGCCGCTGCAGTAAGTCAGTTTTTTCTTGCAACAACGGCAGTTGCTTCTTCACTACCGGCAAGGTTCACCACCACCACCACCACCGGCACTGCCAAACCTGAACACATTTGCACAAACACACACAAACACACACACTCACATTCGCATAGTGATACACCGCGATTGAGACCACTAATCGAATACTGCTGATGAGCAATGGTGGTGGTGGTAGCAGTAGTAGTCCACACACACACACACTCAATGTCGCCAAAAGACAGTTCAGTGCAGTGGTGGTGGTGGTGGCGCCGGCAATGGTGATCAGCCACGCTGATAGGGTCTCCCTCGCCAGCGATTACGCACAGACACAGACCCGTACCTTTATCGCCTTTTCACCGTTTGCCTGCAAGGCAGATGATTAGCAATTTCAAAAAAGAGAGAGAGAGACAGAAACAGACAGTAGCAGCTTATGGCAGCTAGGGTGTCCGAGCACTGCCTGTTGGACAACTCTCTCTCTCTCTCTCTCTCTCTCTCTCTGAGCAGTTGACACTCGCCATTTCGGAAAGGATGACCACCACAACTGTTGCCTTGAGAACAGACAACACACACACACACACTGGTAGACCTATTGGTGGTGGTAGTGGTGTCAAAATCGAAGGATGATTGTGCTTTAAAGCCTTCAGTAGAGATTAGATTGGGAAATTGTGCTGCACTACCAGTAGGAGAGTGAAAGTGAAATATCGCTGCAAAATCAGATTAGCTTAGTGAACATTCGACTGCACATTTGCCGGTTGTTTCTCTCTCTCATCCTCTTCTGCTGAAAGTCAAACAACAAACGCGTGTTTTGTAAACAAAGTACTATCATCGGTGTGTACTTTGAGTTAGCCTACTAAAAAATTTCACTTTTCAAATGACCTTTGGTTGATAGCAATGTCACTTCAATGATTCACTGCGTTAAAAATCAATAAATGATTAAAAATTTTTAAATAATTTTGCACCTTGTCATTAATTATTTTCTAAACTGCATTTTTAATGAATTGTGACATTTTTTAGTTATTACTTAATTTTAAAAAATGAGTATTAAAAAAGTTTTTTTGTTGATGGTAAGTTTTGTAATGAAATAAATTAAGTTTAATTAATTGTGTAAACTAAAATTTAAAAGTTAATTTAACTGTAATCATAAAAATTGTGTGAATTAAACTTTTTAGGAATGCTAAAACAAACGAAACAAAAATAATCTAATAAAAGATAACAGATGAAAAAATAGTTTTATCTAAATGGCGTAAAAGTATTTGCAATAAGATTGTTGATTAGAGAATGTTATTTCAATATGCAGATTGGTACATTTCGCATCAAACAAAGTATAAAGTTTCGATTAAATGCAAAAATCTTGTTTTCATTGATGTACGAATATGAATTATAATAACTAAATGACCACACAGTTTTTAGTCAGAAATCAAACTCAAATAAACAAAATACATAAAGATAATCGATAAGTGATGCTCAGCACTAGACGTAGAAACTACAAATTTTTACATATTGTGCATCAAATAGAGCTAATAAAATCAATTAAAAAAACTGTTTTATTGCAAATTTTTGTAAATTTTACAAATATTTTTCCGTTTAAATAGTTAAAAAATATAATAATTATTTGCATAGTATTTATGTTCTTTATGCAAGCAAAAATTAAACAAGATAAAAATATTTTGATTTTTTGGCAAACTAACGACGAAAAACAAAACAAAGTTTAAAAATTTGTTTGAATATGTTTTATTTGATTTATTTGATTTTTTATTTAAAATTTTTTAACATTGTGAGTTTAGAATAAAAGTATTTGTTTTTTAGTTTTTTTGACAGTTTCACATTATTTTGCTTTTTTAATGGGTTAAACGGTACCATTAAGACTGGTTTTAGCAATGTGTTAGGAGGTATTGAACAAAAGTGCTGCTTATTTTTCAACGTCACTGATCAGGCAGTACAGAACTGACCGAATAGTGAACCGATTTGAACTGGAAAACACTGTGAAAACAGTGAAACACAGTAGGACAATTTATGCAATCATCTTATCAAGCAATCAAGCAGTCTCAAGTATTTCGGTGAATGCCTTTGATGGCGCCCAAGTGGTAGCCTGAAACCGTTGAAGGATACTCGTGATGTTCCCCCTTTCAACTGGAGTAATGCAGTCAAAGGACAGCTGGCAAGTCTGTTCTAGACACATGATAGACAAAGTTGATGCAGACAAGCATCGTCACACCACTTGATACTTTTCCTCGAATTGGTCTCAGCCTAATGTACTTTGCACTGCCAAACACATCTGATGCAATCCTCAGTGCTAACTTGTCATCGTCACTGCTATTATTTTGCATATTACTTTTTTGTTCTGCTTTTTATTTTCAAATTTTAGCGAAAACTAAAAGTTTTTATCAAATTAAATTGTTTTTGTTAAGTGCAAATAAAAAGTTGCAACAATTACGTCCAATTTGAATGATTGTCTAATACAATTAAAAACATTAAAATTTTTGACATTGTGTGCGGTGTGTTCATTGTCAAAAACTTCAAAAAATTAAAATTTTTTGTTTTTTATTATCATTTACAAAACAATCTTTTTATTTAAAGTACAAAATATTAAGTTTAAAGTTTTTATTAAAGATAGTAAAAAGACATGAAAATGCCATTTCAGGCAACAATCTATTATCATTACATATCAGATCTCTAAAATAAGCGTCTTATGACTGAGTGGCAATACCGTTTGATATGTCTCCTTGCTGTCTACTAAATCGAAAAAAGAAAACACTACTGTTAGTAACGGAGACGTTTTCCTCGATCCGGCGTCTAGCGAGTGTCTCCAGTTGATTTCTTATCAACTCGTACTTTTCCTTTTTTGCCAAACTATTGCAGAACTCACAAAGTACAGGAACCCCCTAATCACTCAACTTTTTTGACAACATGATCATCAGTCATCTAATCATTCAAGACAGTGTACTGAACTATTTACTTTTTTAGTATTGCAAAATTTAACAATATTGACTGATTTGCAGTTTTTTCCAATTTCACTTTCATTAAGCAACATTAAAGTATATTATTAAAATAAAAAATTAACTAGCGTTTTATTTAAACTTTAATTAGAGCATTTATAATTTGGTTATGACAAAAGTTAAACATTAAAACTTAGTTTTGCGACATATTGCATAGTATAAACTTTGGTAAAGAATAACGTTATTATGTACACTGTTTAATTATTAGACTGCAATCAAATTATGTTAAATTATTTTGCAGTGTTTTTAGATTTAAAAGACAAAAAAATACAACTGAAAACATTAAAATTTTTAATTTTTTTAATTTGTTTAGTTTTAGTTGATGACTTTTATTAAACTTTGAATTTGTCAGTGTAAATGTATTGAGTGTTTTCTCTATTTTCTGATGTCCTTGTTGATTACTGCTTGATCAAATTTATTTATAGATGACATTTTTTCTGCAACGCAACTCAATATTTTTTCACAAAATCACAAAAAAATGTCATACAAACAAAAATAAACTGAAAGTAAAAACAATTAAATTTTTTAAATTGTTTAAAAGTTGTTGTCGACAAAAAACTAGTAAATTGATAAAAATAAATATAAACAGCATGTGAACAATTCGAAATTGTGAGTTTGCAGTAATTTTTACAGCAATGTTAATTGTAGTAGTCTAACCGATGTCAATGATAAGATTTTTTTAGTTTCAGATTGACAAACATAAGATAACATCAAAATACTAAAACTTGATTAAAATTAAACTATCAGTGCACTTAAAAAATAATTCCTATTGCCATTTAAAAAAAATAACCATAAAACTACAGACATCTGACGGTTTAAAATAAAACGAATAAAATATATATACAATTTCAACATAAACAAATTTAAAATCAAAACACAATAAAAATTGCTACTAATTTTGTTTATTATTACTTGCGCAAATAAATAAAAATAAAAGAATAAAATGAAAAAAAATTGAAAAATGAAAAATAAATGCAAAATCTAAAATGATGAGCTTTTTTGACAGTTTCTTGGCAATTTAATGCATAATGGTTTATTAAAAGAACATTTAACGGTGTTCATTTACGCCATTAGGCAGTTTCAAAGAATTTTTTTGCAATTCAGTTTTTTTAAAGTTGACTAGTGATAATGATGCACGTACTGTCTTAAATTTCAACGCCGGCTATTAGTTTTAAATTTTGAAATTTAAAATAACGATTTTGTTTTTTAATTTAAACTAAATTTTATATTTTTGAAGAAAAAATAATTTATTTAACACAATTTATCAAAACTGTTAAATTAACAATTGATTTTAAATTTGCTGAACCAACAATTACGTTAATTTCATTTAACCTGCAAAATTATAAAAAACAGTATAAACACAAACAATGATTTTTTTGCAAAAAAACTGACATTCTTTAAATGAGACGGCTACCGGCCGCTACTTTAATGAAATATTAACATTATTAAAATAAACAAAAAATGAAACATTAAATAAAATAGTTATTTTCAACTTTCACAAAAAAAATCAAAGTGTAAAAATTTTTTATTTGTTGTAAAACAAACAATTCATTGTAAAAAACTACTGTTCTTGAGAAATTAGAAAAAAACACTATTAAAAATAAACTTTTAATTTGGCACATGTAAACTGTCACTTTTTTTGTAGCCGACTTATTAGTGCTGTTTACTTTAATCTGATATACCTGAAAATGCGCGCCAAAGATTTGTAGACCTGAAACAAGTCAATGTGTGGCGCTGTTTTTGCCCTTTTCAGTACACTTACTTTTGGTTCTTAAACTGTTGTTGTTGTTGTTGTTGCAACAAAGCAACACACCAGCAGCACAGCAGCAGCAGCGGCTTCAGTTGTCGTTGGTGATGGAAAGGGAGCTCAAGTAGCGGTGTTTGTACGTCTGACTACTGACTTTTTTCTCCAAACAATAGTCGTCGTTTTCCGAGTTGTGTCTGTGTATGTGTCTGTGTGTATGTGTACGATATTCGGCAATTTGATGTTGACCCGACGACAGACAGTGGGACAGTGCCAGTTGAGGGTAAGTTGCACAGTACGTTCACTGGCTGCTGCTGATGGTGCTGGTGCTGGTGCAGCAACCAACCAAACGCAATGGCTGCAGCGATGCTGCTATAGTCTATAGGAGGCAGCACAGAGAAGAAGAAGAAGAAGAAGAAGAAGAAGGTGAAGCCAATGTGAAAGTCATCCTAGGGTACCCGTTGTTGCTTTTGCTGGTGCTGCTAGTGGTGCAGCGCATGGCTAAAACCGTACGATTCTCTTGCCGTCCCTCTAGTGAACACTGTCTGTGTCAGAACACAGGGTAGAGGTACTGAACGGAACTATTCCCGTTTAGTTTGCTGTTTTCGCAAAAAAAGAAAGAGATAAGGGGGAGAGGAGAAGTGCTGCAAAAAAGTATTGCCTGAGAAAGAAAGTTCTGCAGAGCAGACGACCTAAAGTGTACTGTGTACTGTGGTCGGACGCAGAGGGTAACTGAAAGAGTGAGAAAAAAAGCGATTATTTTTTGGCACTGCAGCACTGAACCATTTCAGAGAGTCTCAGCGCCGTTGGGCGCCACCGAGTGAATGGGCGCCGAACAACAACTTGGCACTGGCAAAAGTTGTTGTGCAAATGCCAATTTTACAATGACCATGCGCCGGCAGTGCTGAAAACAGTAGAGGTGCTGGTGTTGGTGTGACCGAATATACCACACTGCCACACAAACCGACTGACGAGGGAGTAGGAAAATGGCAAAGTTCATACTGTGCTGAAAAAGAGAAGATGAGAGGAGACACTCGCCTGACTTGAAAGTGACAGTTGTCTAGTTGTGAACTACAAAAAAAGAGGGAGGAATGGAATTGCTGTACTCTACACTTGCACGGCTCGGTAATTGATTGTCTTCTTCTTCTACTACTTCTACGGCTACTGTTACTGCAACCGCTAATTTAACTATCTAATAAAGAGGGGCCTCTCCTGCTGACAGTATATTACCTTTTAATTAGTACTTGAATAACTTTGGCACAATAGTAGGCACTAAAAGCAGCTTTTGTGCCGAAAAAGACGAGAAAGCAAACGGTTTGTCAGTGTAAGTGAGTGTGTGTCCCTTTAAAATTGGGCCGGAAACTGTGGGTGGCCTTTTAGAGGAGAAAACAGATTTTCAAGAGCACCAGTGGAATTGCATTCTTGTGCAAAATTGTTCACATGAAAAATGGTGACAGTGAGCGTAAAATCTGGCGTGGGTAGGCATTCCACTGCCATATATAATGATTAAACTTAGTAAAGCATCGGCAAACCATATATAATATTGAGGACAGATTTGCTTTGATTGAATGGACGGGCTTGAGCAAACAAAAATGACCAATGCTAAGAATAGGCTGGTTTCAGAGTGTGGAAATGAAAAGGGCAACCTCGTTATTGAAGTAGATGATAGCAAAATCGATAACTGGGTAATTTTGCCTGCAGTAATGAAGACGGCAAAATTGCTTTATCAGCAGAGAAAACTCTACAGAATAAGTCAATTCTATGGGGTAGGGCAATTTATTCTGAATGCCATGTTGTTCTAACGCATTTGCGCACAAGTTCTAGCTTGTAATCATTAAAACTATTTTCAAGTGACAAAAACAGACAATAATACTTGAATTGCTTTGTTATTCTAAAAAAGTTTCATTATTTAATTTATTTCAGTGCATACAGTTGTTATTAGAAAAACTTTAATGTTAAGAAATTTGGGAAAAAATTGTCTTCTAGTATGTCAATTCAAATTAATTTTTTCAGCATTTGCATAAATAAAAAATTTGTTAATTGCAAAACAAAATTAAATATTTTCATTTCTAAAAAATAGCGTCGCTACACAATTTTATTTAAAATTTAAAAACAAAAAAATTTGTTAAAAGTTTGTTTCAGTTAAAATTAAATTGAGATTAAGTTTACTCTAGCATTACTAATGTGTAAAACTGAAATGTCAAGTTTTTTAGGCTCTAAATTTTAATTAAAGAAGTTTAGTAAAGCAAGTTTTGTCAATATTAAAAATTGTTGTTTAACTTTTATGTTTACAAAAAAAACAGTTAAATGCAACGTTATTAAAATTATATAGTAAAAAAATCGATTGATCTAAAAAAATTAAAACAAAAAACAATTAACTTTGAATTGCTTAGCAACGCAGGTTTGTATTCAACAAAAAATGCAATATTTTTGGCAATCTAAATCTATTTATTTATAACAATTGGACACTTGTCATTTGTCATTTCAATGACAGTTTTCATTTTACTGCATAAAATAATAATAAATTTTTTAAGTTAATGCAATTCTAAAATGTTTTCTTTCATATCTTTTTTTACAACTTTTTCATTGATAATTTATTTTCTGCTCACTTCATCTCTAGTTGAAACAAAAGATAAAGCAACAAAAACTAATAAACCAGAATATTTAAAACCTTCTATTTATTTTGAAGAACTTCAATTGCGCCCACTTTGTGAACAAGAAGAATGGATTGAACAGTTCCGCCCGATTCGCTCACGATGGACCAAATGTTTAGGTTTTCAAAAAATATTTTTGCCAACCGAGCGTTATCGTTTAAAAAAATCCACAAACAAACTTATTGAAAAGTTTATCAATGTAGCTGACGAGCAATTGAATCCATTTTGTCGGTAAGAAAAACGTGTTACAAAAAAATTATAAAAGTAGGTTTTTTGGTTTTTAGCTTATCGCGAAACTGGCGCGTTTGTTCACACTACATCAAGAAGGTTCCCTGCCTCATTGCTGACTACGATGTAATACAGAGAGCTAAAAATCCCAAGTACACTCCTCTTGAACGAACTCGAAAAACTTCAGGTCCCTATGGGTACACTCCAACTGTGCCGTCACGATACTCCAAAGATGATGACGATCTCGACCATCAACAGGAGCTGTTCAATATTCAGTGTGAAGCAGTGCGCCTAAGTGCTCACTATCGAAAACAGCCGGAAATGATTAACATGATGGAGGACTACAGTGATGGAGAGCTGGAGGACCTGGAAGAGGTCATACTGGAAGCCGATGATGGCGTTGATGATTTTGAAGATGAAGAAGAGGCCGATGCTAAGCGAAAAGAAAAAATAAAAAAGAAAAAAGAAGAATTGTAGAAACGATTTTTGTTTAAAAAATACGCACAACGTGCGCTCTCTATTGGTAGTAAATAAAAATAAATTTTTTAAATTTTACAATAAACAGTAGATAGTCATTGTCTATTTGCCAATGTTTCAATTTAATGATTTAATTTAATTGTCTCTAACAACATAGTCAATACATGTAATTTAAACCTTATCAGTATAAATGCTTGATTTAACCTTGTATTGAAAAATTCAAAATGCAAAATAATTTTTATGCGAACTCAAAGTACATATTGCTTGTGCAATACTAGCGTTCACACACTTTTTAAAAGTTATTGATGTTGACATCGTCTTGTGTCCCTAAAAGTGTTTGAACGTGCCTGCTAATTCAATTGTCGTTGACTGTTGTTTCCTTCACTTCATCCTCTTTCTGTGCAATTACAGGCAAGCACAGTCTTTCACCTTTGCGCCATCACTTTCAACATCTTGAACACTTGCACAGTGTGTTTGCATAACGATTATCTCACCTGACAAGCCACCTGCGTTCAGTTCATTTCAGTTGCCGTTTCAACTGTGTGTTTTTTTGAAGCTTTGCAAACACTTGTCAACTGAACACACTGTGTCACCTGTTCCTTCTGCACGGCGACACACCGACAAGACCAATGCCCAGAAAATTAGTGCTCGGCATTGGAAAAACATGTTTTTAAAAGCAAAAGCTGAACTGCATAAAATATGATATGCGTTTTAGCCACAAACCACCAGGTTTAACCTTCTGTCTTGGCATTTGATGCAATTTCAGTAACCCATTACAATGGCGATCTTCTGGAGTCGATCATTTGAATCGATTGGCCGTGTCCGCTGCCATCAATAAAAGAAGTCTAGACTGTCCAGTAACCACACACACACAGGCCGCCAGTCAAACAGGCAGATTGAGGATTGTAGTGGCAGGCTATTGTGAAGCGTCCCTAATGAGCCATTGCAGCTCAGGTGAGCACACAAATTGATCTTTATCTGGCAGTGCATCAGGCGACTGTTGCTTTTCTTCTTCTTCTCCCTCTTCTTCTCTCTATTTATCTCTTCCTCTTTCTCCCTTTCTCTTTCTTTTTTTTGTAATATTCTTTTTTCTTCCGCCGCCTCTTTCTCCAGTCATGCATGCATCATCAGCCAGTTTAATGGTCTAAAGGGATTGGGAATGAGTGAGTGTGTGTGTGTGGCTTCTGATGTTGTTGCCTCAGTGAAAGTTATTGTTGCTGTCTATTCACTTTCAATGCTTGTTCACTTTTGACTTTTGCCTCTTTACTATTTTTTACTGTGGTTTTTAATATTTCATTGTCGCATGGTTAAAAAAGCTGTTTGAAGTGGTGCACCTTTTGCGCACTGTTGAGCGTTTCGTTGTCCGTTGAAACAAGGGGCCTCTACCTACTGACAAGAGCCTTTTACAACAACCGACAAGCTAAAAGTCATTATTATTGCGGCCGTTGTTTTCTCATCAGTGCAGTTTAATATTTTATACTTTACTTAAATGTTTTATTGCAAAATTAAATTATCAACAAAAATTTAAAACGACTTTTCAACATGCAAAGATGCTCAGTTTTAACTACTGAAATCAAACATTTGATATAATTTTTGTTTGTTTGTTTGCAAAGAAAGAAAACAAGCAAATGGAAGACACGGTGAGGGAAACAACTGCCCACTAAAGTTAGCCACGCCAAAAACCAACAAAGCCAATTGACGGTGCATTCTGCATTGTTTGTGACAGTGCTGCTTTCGCTTTCCTTTTTGCTTTTTAGCTAGAGAAGCCGCACTCAAACAGTTCACTCAGCTCACTGCTCAGGGAAGATTGCATCCTGCGAGTGAATCAGCGCAACCTGACTCAGCAACAGCAGTAACAGAGCATAAAAAAGAAGTGCAACCTCAAAAGCGCTGATCTGAGCTGTGGACAACCACCACCACCATCACAACCACCGCATTGAGGACCTGCATCTACGGCAACGGGCGGCAGCGGCGGACAACATATCAGCAGTCATACCATCATAACCAACAACAGCAGCAGCAACAGCAACCGCAACAACAGCAGCAGCAGTCGCACCGGCAAAGTGTTGCAGTCATCCTCTGACAAGAGTCTGTTGTCTTCGCTGTGTGCTTGAGATTATAGCCATACAGACGACTGGGCAGGAGAGTAGGCAAAAGCCAAGCCATTCTGCACAAACTGCTGCTACCACTCTACTACTCGATCATCATCATCATCATCATCATCTGTCTCGTTGGCAAAGGCGGCGATGCTTAAGTCACTTGTACACCTCCAGCTCGTTGCCCACTTATTTGCAGCACCTTCAGTATCACCACCTAACTACCGCTGCCGCCGCCGCCAACAGAAACAACAACCACAGTAGCCAAAGCAGCAACAGCAACATCAACCACTGTTCAAACCTGCTCTGCACTGAGTTCTCCAGTCCGTCAGTTTGAAACTGAAACTTTCACTTTATTCAAAATAGCTGACAGTGAAGAGACCAAGAGATCAGAAGAGGTTGAAAATATTTATCACTGCATAAATCAACCTGTGACAGCACTGTCATGCTGTTGTTTGCATTTTGAAAACAGTGTCACTGCTGCGGACACCTTCAGTATCAAACGTTTATTCTAGTTTTTTTGAAATATTTAACTAGTGTAAAACAAGACCCCTCGTTTGGTTGACAACATGGCCCATATGTCGGGCGAAGTGGGCGTAGGCGATTGCGTCCTGCTGCATGAAATATCGAAGAAAAGTCTAATAGACAATTTGAAAATCCGGTAAGTTTTGCGCCTGTTTAGGGAAATTGCACTAGCAAAGATGTTTTCCTAATTGTACTCCGATGACTCATCAAACAAATTGCATTGCACTGCTGTTTTCTTCTCCTGCAGATAAGCCATTAACGCAAAAATACCATGATTTTTTGTGCTGTTTATGTTGTTTTTACTTAGCAATTTAGCTGCAATGTACGAATAACAATAAAAACATTGCACGCAAAATTTCATTTTAAATGCAAATCAAATTAATTAATCTCAAGTTAAAAATATAATGATAATAACTCAAATTTATAAAATATTTTTTATATTTTTTTACAAAATTCAATTAATTTAAACTTGATTAGTGCATTAATAGTGCAATTATTTTTAAACTTGCTTTTTAAAATAGGCCACTGTTTAAATCTATACTTTTGTTCTCTTTTAAAAAGTTGTTTTTTGATTTACAAAAGTAAATTATGATTTTCCAAAGAACGCCGTCTATTCTGAGCACAACTGTTGACCAGCAACATCTTATTGTGTGTGTGTGTTGTGTTTAGGCAACAATGAGCTTGTCTGGAAGCATTGCCGGAACAACTGTTATGCAAATGGCACCCATTTCATTGCTTTGTTGGTGGCACGCTCCAGTGAACAGCTTTGCTACACTGCTTCGCTTAATTGCATTTATTGAACTGTTTTACAATTCTGTTAACTTTTCGATTAATTCCACTAATTTAACACAAGCTCGTTGCATGAAAAGGCTATGCAAATTATAGTTGTGCACTTCTTCTATACAAACAGATTTATTTTAATTAAAATCTACATTAGTTTTACAAGTTTTCTAGATAGACATGAAAAATGCTAACATGTTTAAAATCTTTTTAAAAATTGTAATGTGTGTCATAAATAGAAACAGGCAAAATGTGCGTGCAAAGTGTACATGTACATTTTACTTTTTCCGTTTATCAGTTTGCCAACAACTGTTGTTTTCTTCTCTTCCTGTCAAGCAGCACAAACAGTGCAATCAATTTGATTTGATGTGCCGACCACTTGAAACACAGGCAGACGATCCTCAGCAATATTGGCCACCTAAATTGGTTGATAAAGGTGTCAATTGGCGCCTTCTTTCAGTTGACAGCGTGGCAATATGTGACTGCGGGTATAGAGAGCACTGCTTAGAGACTAAATTCTTAGCAGTTTTGCCTCTTGTCTCTAGGCAGGCACTGCCTGCCAATGCCTGTCGCTTACATATCCAATAAATGTAATATGTTTTGCCTAATAGACGGAAATATGCAGTGCTCCACGCGTATGCTGACTTTGATGTTTGCCTGTTTGCTGCCGGGCATTCATAGCAACAACCATAGGCGCACATAGACACACAGAGACAATGCCTTTTATGGCACATGGCAAACACACACACTGCACTTGGCAGTGATTGAAATGTTCATGCTGTTCACTGGTATTGGACTAAACAATTCGCTAATTTAATTTAGAGAAATTTTGGGTTTACAGGGAAATTCACAGGCAAACACCAGATTTTAAATAAACTACATGGACAGGCATTTTAATTTAGTTGCATAAAAAACGTTTATTTTTTTGTTAAAACTAAAAAGATTTTTGCAAGTCTAATGAGCATAATTAACCGTTTTCAGTTACAATGCTGGTCGCTACTACACCTACATTGGAGAAGTGTGCATTTCTTTAAACCCTTACAAAACACTGTCAATCTATGGCCAGGATCAAATTAACGAATACAAAGGAAGAGAAATCTTCGAGCGGACACCGCACATATTTGCTATTGCAGATGCGGCCTACAAAACGATGAAACAACAAACAAAGGACACTTGCATCCTCATTTCAGGTATTGTTGCGGCCAATGTTTTTTGACAGCAAAATGACATACAATCTTTGTTTGTAACAAGGTGAAAGTGGTGCCGGTAAAACAGAGGCCTCTAAAATTATCATGAGATACGTTGCCTCTATAACTAACGTTCATGGCCAAACAGAAATTGAAAGGTAGTTTTTTTCCACAACACTAAACATAAACATTAGCAATAAAAAACTTGTTTATTAAAAATAGAGTAAAGAATATTCTTCTTAAATCAAACTGCATTTTGGAAACTTTTGGCAACGCCAAAACCATACGAAATGACAACTCTAGTCGCTTTGGCAAGTACATGGACATCAACTTTGATTTCAAGGGCGATCCACTGGGCGGGCACATAAACAACTACCTTCTGGAGAAGGTTTGTAGCCAAAAACAAAAAGTGCTCAAGACAGAGCAATTAATCTAATTACTTTTTCCCCCATTCCCCTCCCTTTTTTCATAAACAGTGCCGAGTTGTGGGCCAACAAGAGGGTGAACGCAACTTTCATTCCTTCTACCAGCTGCTGTACGGCTGCACCGACCAACGCCTAAGCCAGCTCAGTCTGAGCCGAGACGCCAGCCAGTACTTCTACTTAAGGCAGGGAAACGTACCAAAGCAAGCCGCCCTGAATGACAGCGCCAACTACAAACAGGTGGAATCGGCGATGAAGACGCTGCAATTTAGTGCCGAGGAGATTCTCGCCTTCGACCAGATCCTCGCCGCCATCATCCACCTGGGCAATGTGCAGTTCGAGTTCAGGGCGGACACTGAGTCGATTGCCGTCGTGTCAAAGTCAAAGGGCGCCGTTTCTAATCTGGCAAAGCTGCTCTCCGTGGAGGCGGCCAGCGTGGAGAAGACACTCTGCGCGCGGACCATCTCGGCGAATCGTGAGGTGATGCGCAAAGAGCATACGGTCCAGCAGGCCGAATCAGGTCGAGACGCCTTCGCCAAGGCCATTTACGAGCGCCTCTTCAACAAGGTCGTGGAGGGCGTCAACCGGGCGTTGACCATGGACGGCAGCAACATTAGCGCGCAAAGTCGGCGCAGCTTCGGCGGCAAGCGGACCTTCCTCCGCTACTCTTTTGTAGACATTTACGGCTTTGAGGTGCTGGAGAGTAACAGCTTTGAGCAGTTTTGCATCAACTACTGCAATGAGCGGCTGCAACAGCTGTTCATTAGTCTAGTGCTGAAGCAGGAGCAGGAGGAGTACGCGAAGGAGGGCATCGAGTGGTCGCACATTGAGTACTTCGACAATGCGCCCATATGCTCACTGGTGGACAGTCAAAAGAATGGCATTCTTGCGGCGCTGGACGATTCTTGTCTGGCGGTGGGCAAGATTGATGATAATCTGCTGCTGGAGTCGATGGATGGCCGATTTAAGGGCGATAAGCACTATGATTCGAGGAGGAAGTCGCCGGCAGATAAGACGCTAGTGCACAGTCAGCACTTTCGCATCCGCCACTACGCCGGGCCGGTCACCTACGATGTGACGGGCTTTATTGAGAAGAATCGGGACACGCTTTTCCAGGACTTTAAGCGGTTGCTTTATTCAAGCAAAAACAAGGTCATTTCAGGTACTTATTTTGTTCACAAACACTTGAGTTTGGTCACATAACTTATTTTCATTTTTTAATCCACAAAGTAATGTGGCCTGAAGGGGCAAAATCTGTGACTGAAGTCAGTCGACGGCCGGTGACTGCCGGGCAGATCTTCAAGACGTCAATGAACGAGCTGATTGACAACCTAAAGCAGAAGGTGCCCTTCTACGTTCGCTGCATCAAGCCCAACTCAGAGAAGTCGCCCGCAAAGTTTGACGAACAAGTGGTCTCACATCAGGTGGAGTACTTGGGGCTGGTGGAGAACGTCAGAGTTCGGCGAGCTGGCTTTGCCTACCGAGCCGAGTATGAGCGCTTCTTGAAACGCTACAAAATGATTTCCGGTAAGACGTGGCCCAACTACTATGGAGGGGGTGGAAGCCAGATGGCTTGTCGAGAGATCGTCAACGAGAAAGGCTTCGACGATGACGTCAAGTACGGCAAGACGAAGCTGTTCATTCGCTCGCCGCAAACTATCGTCAAGCTGGAACAGGACCGAGAGTACTACCTCAGTCTGATCATCGTTCTCCTGCAAAAGGTACCAAAAACCATTTTTAAAAATAGTGAATCTGTTAACTCTTTTTTTCGTCCACTTTTTCCACCTCCAGGTATGGCGCGGCACCCTAGTGCGCATGCGCATGAAGAAGATTCGCGCCGCCATCACCATCACGCAGTACTACCGCCGCTACAAACTGCGCATGTACCTGCAGCAGCTGCACGCCATCGGCGTGGAAACTCGCCGCCTCTACCAGCACAACCAGCCAATCACCGCCCAGCAGAGGGCGTCCCTGGAGAACTGGCCCCAGCCGCCGAAAACGCTGACAAGCGTGGTGGCCACCATTCGGCGGGTGTACCGCCGGTGGAAGGCCTGGCTCCTCCTCCGGCGCATTCCCCGCGACAACTGGCCGGAGTTCCGCCTGAAGGTGATCGCCGCGGGGGCGCTGGCCGGAAAACGGGCCAGCTACGGCCTGGCGGAGAAGTGGCACGGCAACTACCTGGCCATGTCGGAGTTCAACGCCGGCAGTTCAAATGTCTTTGCAAACAGCATTCGCCAGAAGCTGCCCCCCGGGCAGACGGTCCTCTTCAGCAGTCGCATCTGCAAGGCGTCAAACAGTCTGTTCAAGAAGAGCGCCGACCGTTTGGTATGCTTCTATTAGGGTTTAGGGTTTTTAGGAGCAGGCTGTGAGCTTTAACTTCAATTTTAACCACAAACTTGTTTTCAGTTGATCGTAACCGAGGAGTTCATCTTCAACGCCGATCCCGTGAAGATGAACTTCATCAACCCGAAGGGCGTCGCCATTGGCGAGCTGGCCGGCATCGGCCTCTCAAAGGGCAGCGACCAGCTGATGGTGGTGCAGGTGCGCGGCGGAAATGACTTCATTTTTGCGCTGGTGGACAGCACCGAGCCCGCCTCTAAGGCGGTCAACCGAGTGGGCGAGTTCCTGGCCATCATTTTGCGACAGTATTTCCGGTAATATACAAACAAACATTGATTTTTTTGTTCTAATGAGCAACCAAAAATGTTAATACCAATGTTTTTCTTGTTTTCCTTTGATTGAAGGCTAAAACGCAAAGAACTGTCCGTGACAGTTAGTGAGGTGCTGCACTGCTGCTACGGCAACGGTGAGAAGGTGCTTCGCGTGGAGGGCAGCGGCCAATCGGTGGTGATGTTCAAGCGAAATGGCAATCAACTGAGCCTTCTTTGGCCGCACTTTATCAATCAAATCACCAACGGCAATGGGGTTCATTAATAGGACAAAAAATTAAACATAACAAAGCAAACAAAGCAAAACAACAACAACACCGAAAACGTTGTTGTTGTTTTGCCACCAACATGACATCAACGTCAACTGTTATTGATTATATTTCATCCTTATTAATCTTTATTACTTTAATAACAACAAAACCTTTGTTTCTTCTTTTTTAGTTAACAACAACACGTACACCCGACACATAACAATAAAGAAATGAATGCAGCATTTAAAGTAACACATTTAGTAAACAGAAACAAAAGTGAGTTTTTAAGCTCAAAAGAAGGGGAAAGGGGTGGAAAATCTGAGGGGGTGATCACCAGGAAAATGCGACAAGCAAAGGAAATGTGAAGGGGAAGAGAATTGCGTTTCGACATCAAGTTTGAATAATATAAGGTAGTAGTAATACAGTGTGTGTGTTTTCAATGCTATGTTTCTGGGTGTTCAATTCGGAAACAATTGAACACTAATGCACTTGCTTGATTGTTTGCAGAGAATGAACTTCTAATTCTCTGGACCACAGTTTTTACTTGGTGCCATTGACCGCCTTTCCATTATCCTCGCCGTTGTTGCCGTTGCCCTGTTCCAGATCGGGAAAGTGCCACCGGTAGGTGCCGTAGAACTTGAAACCGCGAGCAATGCAAAAGTCGTCTGCCTGCTTAGGGCCACGAGAGGAGTGCAGATAGGGCAGTGGGGCCACTTTTTTGTTTTCAATTTCATGCAACAGTGGAGTGAAGATGCGCCACGCCTCGGCCAGTTCATCAGAACGGACAAAGTGCATCTGTGAGCCGGCAAAGACGTCCATGATCAGGCGCTCGTAGGCGTCCGGCAAAACGGCCTCCTGTTACAAAATACAAAAAAGTGATTTTTAGCATTGGTCAAGTCATACGGAAAAAGTAATTCTTGAAAGGTACCTTGTATCGGTTGGTGTACGTCAAATCGAGTTCAGTCTCCGCCAAGCGGAAGGTCATCCCCGGCTCCTTGGTCATGAATTTGACGTACAGTGCCTCACCGGGCTGGACGCGAATCACCAGCTCATTGCGTTTGCACTGGCCCTGAAAGATGTCTCCGGGAACGTCGCGAAACTGAATGCGAATCTCGGCCTTGCGCTCGTTTAAGGCTTTGCCTGTAAATTTAAAAAACGTTTGTAGTACAAAAAACAATAAATTTGTTTTGCAAATGCCACACTTACCGCATCGCATGAAGAAGGGCACTCCGTCCCAACGTTCATTGTTGATTTTGCACATGCCCAGGGCGAAGGTGGAGGTCAACGAGCCGGCAGGCACAGTGGGGTCATCGAGGTAGCCCAGCTGTGCGTCACCCTTCAGCTTGGGATTGCCGATGTACTGGCCGAGGACGACATCGTCCAGCGTCAGCGGCTTCATCGCCCTTAGCACCTTCACCTTCTCGTCGCGAATGTCCTCCGGACTGGTGGACACCGGCTTCTCCATTGCCACCAGGCAGAGAATCTGCAGCAGGTGATTCTGCATCACGTCGCGAATGATGCCAAACTGGTCAAAGTAGCCGCCTCGACCCTGCGTCCCAAAGGGCTCCTTGAAGGAGATCTGAATGGAGGAGATGTTCTCGCGGTTCCACACTGGGCCGAAGATGCGGTTGCCAAAGCGAAGGACCATCAAGTTTTGCACCATCTCCTTGCCCAGGTAGTGGTCAATGCGGTAGAGGTCCTCCTCGCTGTAGAGCGCCTGCAGGTGGCGGGAGAGCTTCTGCGAGGAGTCGTAGTCCCGGCCGAAGGGCTTCTCGATGATCACCCGGTTCCAGCCCGACTTGCTCATGCAGAAGTCGTGGATCAGCTTAGTGACCGGCTCAAAGACGGACGGTGGCAGGGCCAGGTAGAAGAGGCGGTTGTTGGCCACCGCCTCGCTGCCCTCCTCCGCGTGCTCCAGGTGCTCCACCGTGCTGACCAGCTTCCTGAAGTCCTCCGGGTCGTCGTACTTGCCCTGGACGTAGACGTTGTGCGCCAGAAACTGCTCAAAGAGCTCCTCCTCGTCGCCGTCCTTCAGTTTGATGTACTTGCTGATGTTGGTGCGCAGCTTCGCCACGGAAATCGGCGAACGAGCGTAGCCGACGATGGCCGTCTTCATGGGCATTAGCTCGTCGCGGTAAAGTGCCCTATTAAATAAATTGAGAGTAAATTGAGAGTCGGTTAACGATTGGGCAAAAAAGTAGTCAATTTAAGGTCATTAAAAGGCGAACTGAGCTGCTGAGCACTTACCACAGTGTAGGATAAATCTTTTTAATGGCCAAGTCGCCCTGAAGAAGTGGTGGTAAAAAAGCAAAATTTCGAATTAAATTTAATTGAATGTTCTATATTTAAGAAAACTGTAAACAAATCTCTGTAGAATTTATGTGTTGTAGAGTAGAAAAACTTTCTATTGTTCAAAAACTCGATTACACATAATAAAGTATTTAGCTAAAAACGATCACATTAAATATTGTTTCCCAAAAAATTCCATCTAGTCTACTTCTAGTCGTTAAACCGTATTTGCCTCAAAACCCCCATAATGCAATATAAATATAAATGCGATCTTTTAATGCTATTATATGTAAACTGATCTAAAAATTTAGCTGAAAAAAGAAGATGAAGCTTACCGAAGCACCAAAAACAAAGAAGGTATGATGATCACCCTTGTGGTAGTTGAGCGTCTCCTTGAGCATGCTGATCACCTCGGCACAGCAGTGATTGTCATCGAGGACGCCAGCATCAGCAGCTGGGCCAACGGAAGTTGAGGTTGGTGGAGACATTGTAGTGGTGGTACTTCGATAGATCTGCGGCGGAAACTGGTCACTGTCTTCGTATTCGCCTGGCTGCCGGATTCGACGAGTTCGGATGCGCACTGTGTTACCCAGCGTGAATGGAGTATAAGGTTTGAGTGGTAGAGGGAAAAGACAACAGATCGATCACCAAAAGGTGAAGAGCAAAGGAAGGAGAAAGTGAAGAGAGAGAGAGAGAGAGAGGAGAAGAAGCTGATCAGAATCTCTGTCTTGACGCAATTGGGGTTAACAAACACGGGCAAACAGGCAGGCAGGCAAGTGAAGGTGAAGGAAAGGTTAAAGTGTGTGAGGGGGAGGGGGCAAACAAAAGGAAGACAAGCAAGCAATTGGTTAATATGAAAGAAATTTAGCGGTAAGCAGAGAGAAGGAGAACATCATCAGACAAAAGCCGGCAACAGGCAAAGCAGCAGTCAGGCAGTGTTTGACAGTGCCGCAACAGCAGCGACAAGAGGAAAAAGTCAGTAACATGTGGTTAAAGCGTGCAAAAGGAGAGAGAGAAAAGAGAGGGAAAGAGATTACGCAAAGCAAAGGTGAGCGATGAAACAAAACAGGGACTAAACGATCGTCACCGGGTGAAAAGAAAAAGCTGTACAAGTGTAGAAAGAGAGAAAGAGAAAGAGAAAGAAAGCAATGACGACTACGGCAAAAGTTGAAATTTCGGTCTACCTTTCAACAAAGGTAGACAGTCAACAGATGTAATGGATGTGTGTCTGTGTGTGTGTATGTTTCTGTCTAGAGAGTGGCAGCCAGCACCGGGAAATACCAGCAGAAAAAACAGCAGTGCATGGCAATGCTAAAATGAGGTATTACCTCACTGGCGTCGGTAATGACAGAAAATATCCCTGAGCAGCTGAAAGCTTTCCCTAAGGTTAAGTTTGGGAAAGAGAGAGAGAAAGAGAGAAAAAAGGCTGAAGTGCAAAGGCTTTCCCATTACGTGACTGATGCAAATGACTACTGTCGCCTAAGCCTAAGAACTACTGTGCAGTGTGTTGTCATTGGTTTGCTTGCTCTAGTCGCCGCTCTCTGCTCAATTATTAAAATGTGTCCAAGTACTCATTAATATTTTGTGGAATTGGTAAGATAATGCCATACGACACTAACGACGCTACTTTGCTAAAGTTATTATACTTCAAAATCAAATTAATGGCAAGCTGAGAGAGAGAAAGAAAAGGCAAACGAAAGTACTCTACTTGTACGATAGGTTAAGGAAAGTTTAAGAGATTTAGCAGGCTGCACACTTATTTTTCTTGCTTCATGTTCACAAGCGGGCATATATTACATGCCATTTAAATAGTTAAGCCCTTCAGTTAGTGTCAGTTTGCTCTGAACATTTATTATGCAAAAAAAAAGAAGATGGGCAAAACAAACGAGAAAAAACGAAAAAGTAACTAATGCAGTTAAAAGGTTAGTAGAAAGACAAAGAAAGAAAATTATAGCTAAATAAAACACAACCTGAGAATCAGAAAGATTCATATGAAAAGCAAACAAAAAAAAGTTGACAAGACGAGTGTGCAGACTTACCTGAAAAGAAGCAAGGCCAACTAAATCAAAGAGCAGGGGAGAGAAAGTTGGGTACGTAAAGAGTTGACGTAGGTAGGTCGGCAGCAGAAGTGATAGAAGTTAGTGTTGGTTGTAGTAATAATGAGCTCTGCGTGGAAAAGGGTGCTAGCTCTGTGTGTTTTCTATCTCTTTGTCAAATTTTGTGTGACTGTGACTGCTCAGTGCCGGTGTCAGTGCTGAAATGACAAACACTACCTAACTCACTCACTCACTGGCTGACTGACTGACTGACAGTAAAGCGCTGCTGCTGCTGAACTGGCCACTCACTTTTACTTTCACTTTCCCCTACCTAACATTTGGCGCTGGCTGCAGATCTGACTGACTGACTGACTGACTGTGATTGTGACGGTGACTGTGACTGTGACTGTGAGTGTGTCGAGAGCTGTCAGTGAGTTGGTGAGTTAGACACATGAAAGCGTACAAAAAGTGCTGCCTCGCGAAAAGAGCGGGAGAAAGAGAGAGAGAAAGAGCAACAGATTTTGCAGCACGCGCGACCGTGACTGTCTGTCTGCCAACTGGCTGCACTTAGAGGGAACTGCCTGTGCACTCTGCTCACTGCTCAATGCCATCGAAACCGGCAAACAGGTTCAATTGGTGAATTCATTGACTGGGGGTAGACTGCTGACTAGAATGCAACACAACGGATGAGCACACAGCGAATGAGAAAGCATCGATAAGGCTGCTGCTGTTGTGAGTTTTGGCGAGGAAGCTGAAAATTCTCAAGTTTACTTCACTAGGAGCGCCCATTACTTAACAGTTTTTTCTCTGACAACGGAGAAAGGAAAAACAGGCCCACAGCAACAACGGCGGCGGCGGCGGCAGCGTTTGCTGCGTCAAGAATATATTTTTTGTTTTTTGTTTTTTCAAACGTTTGCCAAAAACAAATGACAACTGACAATGACAGTGAACAATCACTGCAGATAGGATTTAAGTGCTAGCTGCAGCGGCGTCAATAGGTTATAACATGTGCATTGAACAGACTCGTTCGAAATTCGCCTGCGATTAGACTGTCGGCACTTCTCTTTGGAAGATGTGACATAACAGAAGGAGGCACATTGTAATTAGCCAAATCATATACTAAACCAAAAAACATGTACATGACATAGACAGTGCATTTGGTACGATGAGCTGATTAACTCTGACTACCTGTCCACACCGTTTTGGGTTTAGCGCATTGTGCGCGCCACTGCACTACACACTGTCCACTCCACAGTACAGTTACATTCTTTTGCATACAATCGACAAGTGTGCCAGTTGCTGATTGCCATTGCTGCTGCTGTTGTTGTGTTCACGCAGTCACACCGTGACACACAGTACTTGCACTTGTAAGTGCACACTTGCATCACTTCCCAACAAAAGCATTGTTTCTAAAAGGAAAGAATCTCAATAACTGAATAAAAAATGCAGTCATTAATTGCTGGCTCAGAACAAACAATGTGTAAACTAGCGTCTACAATTGATTTTCCGTGTTGAATTGGTGAAACAAAAATAAAATAAAGGCCTTATGCTGGCATCGTATTTTGTTTCACTAACTAACTAATAAACTGAATGACTGACTGACTGGTTAACTAAACAGACACTAATTGTTGACGCACTGACGCACGAGTTGGCAGTCGATCGATAGTAGCCAACGTGGTCGACGGCCTGTACTGCAAATAGTAGTCATCATCAGCACCGGCATTTTGCCAGCGTTTTGCACAACTTCATCTTTGACACAAATTTAGTTGTATATTAGCCAATTAGGGATTGCTTATAAAGAGAAAAAAGCATGCAAATAAATATTCAGTGCATTAGTTTGTAATAAACATATAAAGCTTTGACATTCAAAACGGCAACTTGGCAGCTTTTTTAGAAGGAAGTTCACTTAACAGCTAGTGTTTCCGGTTGAATGATAGGCAAACAGCCGACAATTGTGGAATAAATCAGAGTAAAAAAAGGAAAATGAAAAGTCTGACTTGTGTGATAAAAAAAGTGACAGAAAAAAGTGTAAATGAACAACATGAGCGGTTTTTTTACTTTGAGTGAGTCTAATTGAGCCATGAGGCGGAACTTGAATGAATTAAACACTGTGAGTTGAAAACCATGCACTGATGTGTAAGTTTCAACAAAATTGTTAAAAATAAAAAAAATTTTGATAATAATGAGCCAACAACAGTATAAAAGCAAGTGATCAGCAATTTGATCGTTTTTTAATTTAGCAATTTATCTTATTCTTGAAATTGCAACATGTTTTTGTAATTTAAAGATAAAACATTTAAACGTAAATATTGACGATTGACATTGACAATGCAAATATTGTTTTGCACACTATTGTGATTTTCATCATAAAATACTCATGAATATTTAAACAGAAAATAACTAATTTTTATTACTTATGTGGGCGGCTGTTCTTGCAAATGTGTTTCCTTCTTTGATACTCAAACAAACACAGAATTCGGTTTTATAAATAAATTCTATTAATAGAGCAGAGAAGTCGACTAATTGGCAAAAGAAAGATAACAGATAATAAAAGCAGTGCTAGTATTGCACTGCCACTACAAATGCATGTAGACGTCGTCGTGTTATTGGCCAAAAATATGACATAATCAAACTAGCTCTCTCTTTCTTTCTTAGTTAATACTTTTGACAGGCTATTCCTCTGAGCGCGTGTTGGTGGCGTGATGTCAACCTGTGTCTGGTCGGTAAACAGAGAAGCCTGCCGTGTGCTGTCAAATAATGACAGTCTGAAGAAGAAAAACTGCCTATCAGCCTCTCTTGCTAATATTGTCTAATGGACAGCAGTGATGATGATGCTGCATCGATTGACTACATCATCGTGACAATAAATTAAGCACTTCTGAAACTACTGAAAACAAGAAGAATGGCAGCATGGGAAAAAACTTTACGAATCATTATCAGAAAAGTTGTTTTCAAGGACATTAACTGCAAGAAACACAATAGTCAATGTTAAAACAATTATTTGTGCTAAAAATATTACGTTATTCATTATTTTATTATTTAAAAAATTTTGTATATTTTGTTGATATAACAATTTAAAAAATGAAAAAATAATAATATAAGTTATGACTAAAACATAAATTAAAAATATATTTTAACAATACAAACGAATTGTATGGCATTAGTTAAATTAGAGTTTTGCTGATATAAAACTGTTAACTGATACAACAAAAATATAAACAGCTTGATAAAAACGATAAGACAAAAAAGATAAAAATACAACTTCATTTCGATCTTGTTCATCATTGTTTGCAAACTATTATCTATTTCAGTAAAACGAATTTTATGTGTTACGTAAAAAATGAACTTGAAATGTAAAATGGTTAAAAATAATCATGAGGTGACTTGTTATCAAATGTGCAAACTAGACAAATTTATCATGTTGTTAAACGATGTTGATTAATTAAAACTGA